GCTAACTCGGGAGGTTGACACAGGAGGATCACCCGAGCTCATGAGTTCGAACCAGCCTAGGCAACATAGAGCAGCCTCCAGGAAGATCCCCAGTCTAGATGATCAGCACAAGCCCCTCCTGGCCCTGCGCAATGCTACCTSCCTCTGCACACGGGCCTCCCAGTCAAGCAGACCTGGGACTCCTGCCACCTACTTGAGAACCTCATACAAGTTACTCAGCTCTCTAAGCCTCTGCTGCTCATCTGCAAAGTGGAGATAATACCGGGCCATCCTACACAGTGCCTGCTTTGCTGAGTAAGGAGATAGTGTCTACAAAGTGTTCAGCACAACGCCTGGGTCCTGAACTCCCGGGTGTGACACCTTTACGACCCTCTGACCTCCAAAACGTCCCAACCTTTCCCATCTCCGTATCTTTGCTTCCCCTGAGGAAGGAGAAGAGAGACGACGACGACGACGGGGCAAGGGAGCAAGAACGTGTTTGCCAGCTAAAGGGGGAAGATGTTTCCTTTGCTTTTGGGTCACAGAGTCCCTAGATAACGTTTGTTGGCTGCAGAATGGTAGTTGGCAGAAAGATGGAAAGGCTGATGAAGGCGGAGGAGGAGCAGATCTTGGCCTGGAGGAAGGAGGTGGGGAGGGGATTCAGATCTCAGACTTCCTCCTGAGGCCAGCGGGCAGGAAGTGAAGGTGGAGATTGAGAGATAAGTCTGACAGGAAGCCCAGGGAACACAGGAATCACACCTGACAGCARTCAGAGAGGATGAGGTCCTGGGGGAGGGGGCGGGGGAGAGTAAGGTGGCTTAAGGAGAGAGGTGAAGGTTAGAAAAGCCAATAGGAAAAGGGAGGAGAGAGAGCCCAAGACCGCTGGGCATGTATGAGAGCTTCTGGAGGCTGCAGGCAATGAGAGGGGATGGAGCCTCGTGAATCCTTGGGAGATGAACCAGTGGAGAAGGCCAGTGGTGGACACCTTCTAAAAGGAGGATGAACAAAGGAGACAGAGAAGGAGGATGGGGGGGAGAGCAAGTGGGCTGACAGCTCTTGAAAAAACCTAGTGGTGGCCAGGTGCAGTTTTGTGTGCCTATAATYCCAGTGGCTTGGGAGGCTGAGGCAGGAGGATCACAAGTTCAAAGCCAGCCTCAGCAAAATTGAGGTGCCAAGTAATTCAGTGAGACCCTGTCTCTAAAGAAAATACAAAATAGGGCTGGAGATGTGGCTCAGGGGTTGAATGTCCTTGAGTTCAATGCTGGTTATACCCCCCCTACCCTGMAAAAAAAAAAAAAAAAGTCAAGTGGTGATATCTAGGCTGGATCAAGGAGAAGCTGCAGCCTTAAGGTAGAGAGTTTCAGGTCATTAATAAGATCTAGGRGCAGGCTTGGTAGATATGAGCAATTTGGAGAATAGAAACATGGAGGTGGCAGAGAGGAGATTAAAGCTAAAACTTAAGCAGGAGCTCAGAAAGAAAAAAAAAAATGCTTAAAACTCATGTTCATCATGTCCTGGGCCAAAAGCGAGTCTCCTTAGGTTTAAAATGATTGTGCAACCATCATCGCAACTTTTTTTAGTCTTGCTGGGGGTTGAGGGTGCCGGGCCTCACACAGCTCTTACCATCCCTATATCCCTGGTTGCATCACATCATCACMATTTAATTTTAGAACAYTTTGTCAGCCTCCAAAGAAATCCCATACCTAATTATAGCCACTGTCCATTCCTACCCTCAGTCCTAGGCAACCATTAATCCACTTTCTGTCTCTATAGATTTGCCGTTTTTAGAACCTTTAGGATAAGTGAAATCATACAATACATGGCCTCTTAAGTGTCTGGTCTCTAACTCTGCATATTTTCAGACTCATCTGTGTTGGAGATGAGTATTCTATTCTTCTTTACTAAGGAATACTCTTCCAGTGTATAGATGTACCACAAATTTATTTGGTCACCAGTTAATGGATATTATTTCTAGTTTATGGATATCATAAAAAATGCTGCTATGAAAATGTACATATAAGTCTTTATGTGGACATTTTTGTTGTTACCTCTTGGGTCTATACCTAGAAGTGGAACTTCTGGGTCCTATGATAATTCTACATTTAACTCCTGAAGAAATTGCTGAACTGTGCTCTCGTTTTGAATGGCTGTACTATTTTACACTCCAACCAACAATCAGGAGCATTCTTCTGTTCTATATCCTTGTGAACATTGGTCAACATTGACCAAGGATGTACAGCCGTATAGAGCTGTGTGAGGTCCTGTCCCTCTTATTATTAGAGTCATTAGTTTGCAGTGAAGGGACATTTTATTGTGTGTGGTTGGTTTGTTTTGTTTTCATTCTAGTACTGGGGATTGAACCCAGGGGCACTCTACCACTGAACCGTAWCTCCGGCTCGTTTCGTTTTTAATATTTTGAGACAGGGTCTTGCTAAGTTGCTGAGACTGGCTTCAAACTTGCAATCCTCCTGCCTCGGTCTCCAAGTAACTGGGATCACAAGCATGTGCCGCTCACTGTGCTGGGCTTTCGCATGTACTTCCTAGTCATTTGTATACCTTCTTTGGTGAAATGTCTACTCAGGTCCTTCACCCATTTTTAAATGGTTTTTTTTTTCCTATTATTGAGTTGGAGGAATTTAAAAAAATATATTTTTTAGAGGTAGATGGACACAATATCTTTATTTTGTTTATTTCATTTTTTTATGTGGTGCTGGGGATCGAACCCAGTGCCTCACGTGTGGTAGGCAAGTGCTCTACCACTGAGCCACAACCCCAGCCCTGTAGGAATTCTTCATATATTCTCGATTTAAGTCCCTTGTTGGATATATGACTTGAAAATTATCTTTTTTCCAGTCTGTGGCTTAGATTTTTCATCTTCTGGATATGTTTGGACGAGAAAACATCTTTAAAATCCAGTTGACCAAGTTTTTCCTTTGAGGATGATGCTTCAGGTGTTAAGTCTAAGACGACTTTCCCTAACCCTAGGTCCACAACAATGTTTCTCCTCCTTCTAGAAGTTTAACAGGAATCAAGAAATCAATATTTAAAACCCCACAAATATAGGAAGATTAAATAACACACTTGAAAACAGTCTGTGGCTCAAAGAACTCAKAAAATTAAAAAAAATATTTCAAATACAATGATAATGAAAATATATTTCACTAAGATGTTTTAAAAAGCACAAGAATTATAACAGGCCACGTATTCAACATACACCACGTACCTTTATTTGCTCTCTGCTTCAGGGTGAAATTTCTCAAAGAATGTTTGTATTTGAGTATCCGTGTTCACTTCCTTCCACTACATTCTTCAGCAGAATGCAATCTGGCTTCCAGATGCTTCTGGCCACTGGAGCAGTACTAAGGTTCCCAGGGACTTCCTTCCTTGTTGCCAGATCCAGCAGCAGCGCCTCTGTCTTCACCTCACTTGTCCCTCGGGAGCATCAACACTGGCCCTCCTCCTGCTTCTTTGGTCTCTCCTCACTCTGTTATGTTTGTGTCCCTAGAAGATCTGCCCTTAGGTCTTTTCTTCCTTCAGTATCCTCTCCCCTCAGGGAATCTCACTCATCCCATGTCTTCAATGGATCATTTAGATGCAAAGAATTTTTTTTTTCCATAGATTCCCATCCCAGATCCCTCCTTTGAAATCCCAATCCACAGATCCAATTGCTCCCCTCCAGGATCTTCTCTTGGCTCTTCTTTTTTTCTTTTTTTTCGGTACCAGGGATTGAATTCAGGGGGGCACTCAACCACTGAGCCACATCCGCAGCCCTATTTTTGTATTTGATTTAGAGCCAGGGTCTCACTGAGTTGCTTAGCGCCTYGCCATTGCTGAGGCTGGTTTTGAACTTGAGATCCTCCTGCCTTAGCCTCCCGAGCTGCTGGGAATACAGGTGTGTGCCACTGCACCCAGCTCTTGACTGTTCTTAAAGGCCCTGCTGTGGTCTGAATGTTTGTGTCCTCTCYCAAATTCCCATGTTGAAGTCCTAACCCCCACAGTGTTTTGTGGAGATGGAGTCTTCTGGAGGCGATCAGCGCTTCAAGGTAGAGCCCTCCTGGATGGAATTAATGTGCTTATAAAAGACCCTCAAGAACCCCCTTGCTCCTTCCACCATGTGAGGACACAGAAGTTGCCATCTATGAGGAACAGGCCGTCACCAGATAATGAAGCTGCTGGTTCCTTGATCTGGGACTTYCTGGCCTCCAGAACAATGGGAAATAAATGTGGTTTATAAGCCACCTAGTTAATGGCATTTTGTTATAGAAGCCCCAACAGAGGCYGGGCACAGTGAAGCACACCTATAATCCCAGTGRCTCGGGAGGCTGAGGCAGGAGGATGGCAGTTCAAAGCCATCCTTCAAGTCTATACTCTACTTTACACTGAAAGGTCCATGAGGGTAGATCCTACATGCGGTTACATCCACCACTGTATACCTAGTGCCTGGTACAAGCCTTGGGCACTATACCAGTCACCGAATAAAGATGTTTTCAATGACTGAGTGACGATACATTCATCTAGGATAAACCCAGGACTTGAGTGAAAGAAGATGTACCAATATCTTCAAAGATTAAAGGAGAGCGATAGGGAAGTGAGATGGTCAGGGATGGACTTGAGGATAATTCAGAGAATGGCAGAAGCCCTAGAGGGTGTGGGCTGCATGTGTGTGGGGGGGAGATGTTCTGGGARTATTCAATCTGGCCTGGATGAAAGAAAAGCAGACTTTCCTGGAGAGAGTCACCCTTTTTCCTGGACCAGAATTTCCTTAGGTTAAGGAGGTTCTTATAAGCAACATCCAACATCATAGAACAGGCAGGAAAGCTGCCATTCATTGACAAAGTTCTTAGCCAGTGAATGATGCTGCCCATCAAATCCCTGAAGATCGGCCCCAATTCATTCCTGAGGAATGAAAACCCCCTCGTGCCCCAAAGGCAAACACAGTATTTCCTTAATAGCTCTTCTGATTCTTTCTCAAACCAGATCTTAAAGGCCTAAATCCAATCTCTTTCCATGAAGACACATACCTTAGTCCATCCAGAAAACTGGATGAAGGTGTCCTGGGGCAAGTCGGGGATGCCACTGGGGATGGAGAAGTTTCCCACATAAAAGGCCGGAAGCGTGTCGTTGGACGAGCTGTCAGTGCAGTTCTCATTATGGCAGCCAGCATCCTGGCCACCCCAGCCCTGCAGGTGGCTGCGCACTGCATCCTCAGTGCCCAGTGGGAAGATGGTCCAGTTTGTGAGGATACTGGAGCCGAGGGTCAGATTAGAAACCAAACCCTGCAAAGGAAAAACAGCACCATGAGCTGGGGAGGGAAGGAGAAAGGCTTTAGGAGTCTCTGYATCCTGTGCCGATTTCCTACGAAAAGCAAACTGGGCTACAAACCACAACGGTAACGAGTCTCAAACTCTGTGTACCTCCAGGYAGCATGGACGAGAGAGATGAGCTTGCTTTGGTATCTGTAAAAGGGTAAYGCAGCGAGGCGCGGAGGCGCAAGCCTGTAATCCCAGTGGATTGGGAGGCTGAGGCAGGAGGATCATGAGTTCAAAGCCAGCCTCAGCAAAAGCGAGGAGCTAAGCAACTCAGTGAGACCCTGTCTCTAAATAAAATATAAAACAGGCTGGGGATGGGGCTCAGTGGTGGAGTACCCCCTACCCCCCCCCAAAAAAAAATAAGGTATAAATGGTAATGATGACAACAGTCAACCTCAGGACAGGATTCACAGGGGATGGGGGATGGGGCATCTGTGGCAGTAGCCACCACAAAGAAGTTTATGCTCATCGCTCATCTATCTTCTCATTCCCAGCTGTTCAGATGGGAACTGCTCCATTTTTAGGGGGATCCCATACTAGGTCTCAACTGCCCATTAGTAATTCAATCAACATTATGCAAGTGGCTGGGTACGAGGGATCCAGAGACTATGTAGTAGAGTCCTAGTCACTCCAGGGGTCAGTGAGGCTTGGGGAAACCAGGCAGGAGGCCCAGTGATTGTAGCCTGAAGAGAAGGATAGTAAGAGAGACATTCATCCTGGAAATAGAGGCTGCCCACACAACGTTCCCTAAATGTTGAGAGCCATCGTGGGCTGTGTGTGGACTACATCAGCATTGCAGCCTAGTGAATAGGAGAATCTGGTATCTGGGAACTTCCAGTGGGTATTCCCTCTGGCCAAGACTGCCCAGACACATTGTGAGCCCCATTCAAGCTCTGCCTGGTCYCACACAGCACCGGAGAGGGGGTGACCTGCTGCAGCCACACATCCTCTCAGAGATGGGTGTGACCTGCCAAGATGCCATTCAACCTGCAGACCTCAAGACATCATGAAGCAAGACTCCACCCTGGAAACCTTATCCCTGATGTACCCCCAATTGTCCATCTCTAGCTCCTGTGCGGGCTGGATCTATCAGGTGCTCTACTTGAAAACTATCTTYCTGAGTCTTTTTTTCTTCACTAATTATTTGTGACTTATTTTCTCTGGTGGCTTATACTCTCCTGGGCAGGAGGTGTCAGCCACCTCCCATGCCTAAGTATGCAACTGCTTGACCTCTGAGCTGCCCCAAGAGGGTCAAGAAGTAGCTCTGGCCCCCTCTTCTGTCCTAGACTGGATGGTGCCAGAGTTTCTCAATGAGCCATCCCTCCTCTTGCAGATGGCAAGCCACCAGGGGGTCACCCTGCACCAATGAAGCACCCTGGAGGGCTCTGTGTGAGCTTTTTTTAAAATATTTTTTTAGTTTTAGATAAACACAATACCTTTATTTATTTTTACGTGGCGCTGAGGATCGAACCCAGGGCCTCACACATGCAAGGYGTATGCTCTACCACTGAGCCATAATCCCAGCCCCCTCTGTGCAAGCTTTAAAAAAGTTTGCTGGATAATGATCTAGAAGTATTTTTTAAGAACAACATATTTGGACTAGACATTTAGACACAACATGGAGACTAGAGTCAGTGCAGCAAGGGAAAAGACTTCCTCTAGGGTCAGYTTGGCATGGACGGACCATCCAAGCCTACACAACAGAACCAACCAAAAGCTAAGCCAGCTTTGCTGGCCAAGGGGGGTGCCTCTGGTGAGCCAGGTGGGTTTTCAAAGTAGAGRAAGAGCAGGGCAGAGTGGCTTCCTCCTTCCGTTTCTTTCTACATTATGACTAAACTCGAATACAAGGAAAGGTTCTGTTTGCAAAGCTCAACTTTCTCACCACTTGCAGAGGCAAAGAGCTCTTCAAAATAAGTCCCCTCCCAGGCTGCAAAACAAATCAGGGTGTTTCACTCGTCAAGCTTGGCAAAGCGTGTACTCTTTAAAAGGGCCTCTATGACCTTTAACTAGCTTGAYGGTGGGGATCACTCCACAACGTGTGAATACAGCAAAAACATTCCACTCCATTCCTTAATACAAAACAAAAACTAAAATCAAAACCTGCCCCTATGTTACTAAGATGGAAAGAATGTACATGTGAGTTTTTAAATGGATACATAAAACTTTTTTCTGACTGCTTAGACACAGCCCTGTCAACTCTTGAGCCTCAGACCTGACAGAGTGGTCATCCCACCTTAGCATCATTGATATATCTGCCGTAGTTCACACGCCCCATGTTCTCCACCAGAAGGTCCAGGGTGGCTCCAGCTTTCCCTGTTATGTTTAGAGGGGTCACACTGGCTCGCTCAAGGATTCCTTGGGGGACCTGTGGGTTCAAAGCCAAAAGAGCATTGAATTTTAGAAGATAAAAAAGACCAGTGAAGAGGTAACATGCTAGTCAGGCACGGTGGCGCAATAATCCCAGTGGTTTGTAATCCCAGCGGTTCAGGAGGCTGAGGCAGGAGGATCCCGAGTTCAAAGCCAGCCTCAGCAACTTAGCGAGGCACTTAGCAACTGAGAAAGACCCTGTCTCTAATATGATATWTTTTTTTTTTAAAAAGGGCTGGGGATATGGCCCAACGATTAAGCACTCCTGGGTTCAAACCCCAGTATCAAAACAAAACAAAACAAAACACCCCCTTTTTTGCTAGCAGGTATTGAACCTAGGGATGCATTACCACTGAGCAATATCCCCAGACCTTGTTTTACATTTTAGTTTGAGACAGGGTTTTGCTATGTTGCTCAGGCCTCAAATTTGGTGATCCTCCTGCCTCAGCCTAYAGAGCTCCTCATTCTCTCATCCTCCTGCCTTGAAGACAGACTTGTTGAGAGTGCTTTGATATTCCTTAGCCCAAACCGGCCAAGTGGCCACATGTGCCCAGTCACTGCTTCTTCAACAGAAAACTCTCCAGACCCAGCTTTGAACACGGAAAAAGAGAGGCTGGTGTCCTGAGTTATCAAAACGAATCCAAAGAGAAATCCAGCAGGGAACAGAAAATGTCCCCTGCTTCTAGGGCCTGAAGCACAAAGGTGATTTGGAGGAACTGAGGATATGTCCACCCACTTTCCTCCCTTGGAATATTTTACTCTGCATCTGTTTTACTTTTTTGATATTTACTTTTTATTTTTTGGTTGAGGGGATTTGATTTTTACTTTTTATTTTTTGGTTGAGGGTGTTTAACAACTGGGCCACATTCCCAGCCCCTTTTGAATATTTTGTCTAGAGACTGGGTCTTGCTGAGTTGCTCAGTACCTCACTAAGTTGTTGAGGCTGGATTTGAACTCACAATCCTCCTGCCTCAGCCTCCTGAGCTGCTGGGATCACAGTCATGCGTCACCACACCCAGCTGTGCATCTGTTTTTAAAGGAAAGGGAATGAAGGCAAATCCCAGGGGAGGATTCCTATTAGAGAAACGGCTTTGTGTTTCCACAGCACAACCAGCACAACCATCAGACATAAAGAAAAACTTCTAAACAACATGGAGATAGGAGGCAAAATCAGATAACAGAGATAAAATCAGAGAGTTAGGTGGAGTAGTCTCACCTCAAAATACTTGATATGATGCATTAACCACGAAAATTATATAASAGAGTGAAGGAAAACAACAGGTATTTTTATCTGTAATACATTCCTAATTTTTTAAAAAAGGTTTTTTAGTTTTTTTTTTTTTTAACTGATGTTACACTGATCGCAATTCAATAAGACAATTTCTAAACTGGTAGCCAAGAAAGAATCATTAAATGTAGCCCAGTGTCTTAGAAACTGGCTCCCACAGCAATTAATACTGATTACAAATGGAAATATTTTATCGACAAAGATCTGATGAACATAATTCCTGAGGATTCTCTAGGACCATCATATCATTTGTAAATAATGGCAATTTTATGCTTTCAGGAAAAAAAAAGGAAAATATTTTCATTTCTAAAAAGTTGTTTTGTTTGAAGTGCTCCACCCCCAGCACTTGTTAATTTTGAGATAGGGTCTTGCTAAACTTCCTGAGGCTGGCCTCGAACTGGTAATCTCTTGCCTCAGYCTCTTGAGTTGCTGACATTATGGTTGTGTGCCACTGTGCCAGCCTTAATTTAAAAGCTTCTGAACCATTTTCCTTGGTTAGCAAAATCATTTTATGTGTTCTTTCATATGACTATTTCAAGGACAGGAAGAGTTATCTTTTTTTTTAATATTTATGTTTTAGTTTTAGGTGGACACATTATCTTTATTTTACATTTAYGTGGTGCTGAGGATCGAACCCAGTGCCTCGTGCATGCTAGGCAAGCACTCTACCACTGAGCCACAACCCCAGCCCCAGGAACAGTTATCTTAAAATATATCTGGGCTTCATGATGAAACAGAGTTCTTGGTCCATTTAAGTTATAATTGTCAGAATATCATTTCTCATTCAAGATGAGGCTCCAACTTCAATGAACTTTGTATCGTGGCAGGTACAAAACTCAACTGGAAATGGATCCTGTCCYTAACAAAGGCCTGGGCAATATGCTGGGGTCAGAGGGCCCAAAAGGCCTCCCAGAGGCTGGGTCTTTGAGCGTAGCCCTCTGAAGGGTGTTGGGTGCATTCCAGGCAGATGGGCCAGYGTGAGGCCTCTTCAGCAATCGAGAGGGGCACAACTAAAGGGCATCAAGGAGAGAGGTAGAGGCYGCGTAGGGGAGCAAAGGCCTCAACGGCCATGTTAACAGGTGCAGACTACAAGTCCCCCAGCTGGGGCAGAAAGGCACCAGTCAGAGATGATTCTTACCCCATTCACTGAGACATAGGCCCGATCGTGGACTCCACTCAAGGGTGCGTGGAGGGATGTTGAGTTGCTACAGTCTTGAGGAAGAGTTGTTCGGTACAGCACGAACCCAAAATACTGGATAGAAAGGGATTTAAGAAAAATGCATCACTTCTGCTGTTCATTTAAAGAGAACCTGTTTTCTCTTGTCTTTAAGTGATATTTCAAAAACCATAAGGAATGAAGAGCTTCCCCCACCCCTAGCAAAATACAATCTGCAAGAAGAGAAGTAGCAGCCAGGCGCAGTGGCGTATGCCTGTAATCCCACCAGCTCAGGAGGCTGAGGAAGGAGGATCCGGAGTTCAAAGTCAGCCTCAGCAACTTAGTGAGGCCCTAAGCAACTCAGTGAGACCCTGTCTCTAAATAAAATACAAAAAAGGAGCTGGGGATATGGCTCAGTGGTTAAACACCCCTGGGTTCAATCCCCACTAAAAAAAAAAAAAAGAAAGAAAAAAGAAGAGAAGTAGTTCAGATTTTTAGATCTTAGAACAACTATCTCAACAGCAGCATGACACCCTGCAGAGCATCTCATGGAGCACCCCTTTCCCATAAGGGGGCAATGGACCCTGGGCAGGTTAAGTCATTTGCCCAGAGTGACTCAGAAGATCAGCTCATGTATGTCAAAGGTTGCTGATTTTAACTCAAAAAACAATACCAAGAAAACAACAACAACAAAACAACCAAGATAAACATGCACCAATAAAACCAAGAGATGAAATTCTGCTCAGTAAAATATTTTCCAAGTTCTTGGGCTAAATCTGCTCTAACTCACAAAACAAGACTCAATTTGAAACTATTACAAGTGGAGAAAAGGGGGCAGAGGGTTGAGAGACTCGGGCTGTAACTTTGCAAAGTCAGAAGTTCTTCTGAGATCCTGACATCCCTGGTCCTAAAGGAACAGCTCAGACCACCAGCCTCAGAGTCCACAGAATTACAGTTATCGATTTTGCCTATTTGCTTTTTGCTATGGACGTTTAACCAAAATGCACTGGGACAAAAATCCTGAGTCACAGATGAGAATCCAAATTGAAATCTAACGTGGAAAAGAGAAAAAAGTCCTCCAGTTCTAGGGCCTGAAGTGGAAAGGTGATTTGTGGGCACTGAGAAAAATGTTGATCTACTTTCCTGTCATTGCAGGACCTGGCTGTGACTTCAAGCACAAGCATTACCTGCTCCCAGATACCAAATCTCTGTCTTCATCTTGTTTAGCTGCTTATGGAGACTAACCAAGGGGATGGGTACTAAAGCAGAGGCTGAGAAAAACTTTGCACAGGGCTTCCAGGAGGGAGCGGAAACAGGGCTGCTCCCTGCACAGGCGTGGCTGAGGCACAGGGCCGGGCCCCACTCCTGCAGCCTGTGCCCCCACAGTTTCACTGAAAATAAATGTTCCGTGGGCTGCTTACCCCAGACCTGAAAGATCCAGGACCCAGGGAGCTCCAACCAATTCTAAAGCAGAGGGTCTGACCATGAACAGTGGCTGCAGGTGTTTGTACGTTAACCTGGAGGTCACTCTCCAGACTCCAAGCCTGGTGTGCTCCATGATGCTGCTAAGTGAAAACAAGTTTGTTTTGCTTCCAGTGTTGGGGATTGAACCCAGGATCTTGCGTAAGCTAGGTAAGTGCTCCACCACTGAGCCACATCCCCAACCTGCAACTTCTATTTTATAGATGAGAACACAGATGTACTGTTAGTGTGTACTATAACTGAATAAAGAACCCAATCCAATGTTAATTGAAAAAACTAATTTTGGGGGGCTGGGGTTGTGGCTCAGTTGTAGAATGCTCACGTAGCATGTTTGAGGCCCTGGGTTTGATCCTCTGCACCACATAAAAATAAATAAATAAAATAAAGGTATTGTGTCCAACTACAACTAAAAAAAAAGTATTTTTTTAAATAAATATTTTAAAAATTATTATTAGTATTGGTGCAGGGGATTGAACTCAGGAGTGCTCCACCACTGAACTAAACCCCCAACCCTTTTATTCTGAGACACTGTCTCACTGAGTTGCTGAGGCTGGCCTTGATCTTGCAATCCTCTTGCCTCAGCCTCCTGAGTAGCTGGCCTGATTAGAGGCCTAAGCCACCGCACCCAGCTTAATTGTCTACTTTCTTGACCACAAAAATAAGACTTGTTGAAATAAAATCACAAGTGTAAAAATAGTAACTGGGGGTGAAATATACTAAGATTAGATATGGTGTTTTTATGTCACCTTACTGTTCAGACTTCTTCCAGAAAGCACTCTTCACCAAAAAATCAGAAAGGAAGATTCAATAACCAACATTTAAAAAAGCGGGGCCGAGATCCTAACCAAGTGATCCATTTTAACACAGCAACAAAGGGACAAACCAATGCCATGGCCATTCTGACGTCCTGCCCTGACAAGGACACGTCACCTCCGTTTCGTTCATGACCAAACCATTTTACTGAGTCTAATTGGTGAGGGGCAGCCTATAAATAGCCTGAACTCCTCAAAAGTGTCAGTGTCATGAGAGGTAGTCCTAGGAACCATTGTAGATGAAAGAAAACTAAAGAGACATTAAAACTAAATAAAAATGTAAGATCATAGATTGAAGATTGCATTGAAAAAAAATTAAAAGGGAGAATACTGGGATGCCCAGGGAAGCTTGGATATAGAATGTATTTAGATAATAGGATGGGATCAGTGTTAAATTTCCTAAGTGTGATCACTGTACTGTGGTGATATAGGAAAATGTCCTGTTTCTAAAAAAAAAAACACAAAAAAAACCATTGCACTATTTAAAGGTGATGTTGATTGACAACTAAACAGGATTAAAAAAAGAAAAGCTGGTGACTATGTACAGGCCTGGAAAGAAAAACAAAGCAGGCAAAACAACTGCTAACAACTGGTAAATCTTGACCAAAACGGATACAGGTGTTTCTTGTACTATTTTTGCAACTTTTTTAATACCTTTATTTATTTTTATGTGCTGCCGAGGATCGAACCTAGTGCCTCGCACATGCTAAGCGAGTGCTCTACTACTGAGCCCCAGCCCTCTTGCAACTTTAATATTTATTTTTTAGTTGTAGGTGGACACAATATCTTTATTTCATTTTTATATGGTGCTGAGGATCGAACCCAGTGCCTCACATGTGCTAGGCGAGTGCTCTACCTCTGAGCCACAACCCCAGACCCCCCTTGCAACTTTTTTAGAGGTAAGACTTTCAGAAATAAAAAGTTGGAGAAACCTTCTTTAAAAAAAAAAAAAAAAAAAGATGGGGCAGTGCCTAGAGATTCAACATGTACAAATATACAGGTACTAACCATCAGATGTGCTCCAAAAGCAGGGAAAAGAATGTTTAGAAACCCAGGCTACCAAGAACACAGCATCTACACCACTGGGCTAACTAAGAACAAATAATTGTCTTGGGTATTAAAATAGTAGTTCTCCACTGAGGCCTAGTAATAAAGATTAACTAGACCAGTCAATGCACTCAATTTCTAACTTGTCCAGGAGTATGCTGAAGCAGGCTGAGCCACTTCCAATGGCTGTGATAAGTAGGACTGGGAGAAAAACATATGAAAGGTCAGTCCACTGTGTAGAAAGATCAGCCCACAGTGCACTGCTTCAAGCCAGAGAGCTGGAAACCCGGGGCTCAGACTCACTTGCTCAGCATTTTGGCCCCTGAACTCAGAACGAGAACTACAAGGCAGAAGGCACAATTTTGCCAGAAGAAAAAAGCATTACCTCTGAAGACCTACCTGTTTCACCTGTATAAATGTCAAGGGATAAAGGCTTTTTATGGGTCCACCAGGACACAAGATGTCCAGAGCTGCCTCCACTGTCTTTAACTGAAAAGAAACAAAAGCAGGATTCACTCAGGGACACTGGTAATCAGAGAGGAACATTATATCCAAATTATCAAAGACATGAGTGGACTGGACCAAACCCCTAAATAAAACCAAGTCATTCAAATTCCAACTGCAGTACTGCTTCCCAGTTACCTCCACTCTTCTATCCACTCCCCAACTCTTGATGAAGATGTAAATGATGGTAGTCTTTTTTTTTTTTTTTTTTTTGGTACTGAGGATTGAACCCAGGGGTGCTTTGCCACTGAGCTACATCCCCGGCCCTTTTTGAGACAGGGTCTTGCTAAGTCACTGAGGCTGACCTCGAACTTGCGATCCTTTACCCCCAGCCTCCTGAGTCACTGGGATTACAGACATGCACCACTGTGCCCGTCTAAATGATAGTAATCTTAAAAAGAGTTTTAAACATGCCCATTCAGAAACACAACCCGCTCAGAGCTGACTATAAAAGGCTGTAAAATGAATGAAAACCAAAGTTCTGAGGCTGCCTTCTTTGTAAAGCTTTCTATAACATTTTGACAAAACAACTGGAAAGTAAAAATAGTAACTAGAGGCAAATTATGCTAAAATTAGATATGCTATTCTTATGTCAGCTCACTATAACTATCTTATAGTTATTTTGCCCTCCCCTGAGCTTTTGGCAGCAAGTGTTCCAGCCTGTGTCTGTTCTTGGCTGTTTGTCTTCCTTGACAGACTACCAGGTCCTTCAGGGTAAGACATGTACTGTGCTCACCCCCACAGCCCCAGCTCTCAGGACACATGATAAACATTTATCTTATTCACTCCAAGGGATTGTGTATTCCTGCAATCCAGGATGTTTACTCTGATGCAATAACACCACCAATAATAACAGCTCCCAGTCATTGATCGCCTACACCCTCCAGGTGAGATGGAGCATTTCACACCCACTATTTCATTAGATTTCAGTTGCCCCATGAAGCAGGTATTTCTGTCCCGTTTGTAACTGCGACAGTAGAGACTCAGAGAGCTCACAAGAGCAATGGCAGAGCCAGGATTTGCAGTTATATTTGGCTCCAAAACCCAAGGCTTTCCACCATATGATACTGGTTAGGAATTTTACATCCATTTTCCATGGTTTCTTGCTGATGTGCAGCATCTAGGAATTTTTTTTTTTTTTTTGTACTGGGGATTGAGCCCAGAGGGAATTTTACTACTGAGCCATATCCTCAACCTTATTTTCTATTTTGAGACAGGGTCTCACTAAGTTGCCTAGGGTCTTGCCAAGTTGCTTAGGGTCTCACTAAGTTGCTGAGGCTGTGCTTGAACTTGGGATCCTTCTGCTTTAGCCTCTCAAGCCACTGGGATTACAGGTATGTGCCACTGTGCCCTGCACCCTAGGAAAATAATCCTTTTTTAAAAAAAAAATATCTATTTTTTAGTTGTAGTTGGACACAACATCTTTATTTCACTTACTTATTTTTTATGTGGTGCTGAGGATCGAACCCAGAGTCTTGCATGTGCGAGGAGAGTGCTCTACCACTGAGCCACAACCCCAGCCCAGGAAAATAATCTTAATGACCAGTTCATCAAGTTGGCTACTCACATGGATTCTTACCCACTTGGATAACTAAAGCAATAACAACTCACAGTAAAAGCTTTTATTCTATATAAATTATATCCTACATAGATTTCATTTAGTCATATGCCAATTTGGTAACCTTAAATTGTACACATTGAAAAGTCACTTCTAGACACACTTTTTTAAAAAAAATATTTTTTAGTTGTAGTTGGTTGGACACAATACCTTTATTTTATTTATTTTTATGTGGTTCTGAGGATCGAACCCAGGGCCTTGCAYGTGCTAGGCAAGCACTCTGCCGCTGAGCCACAACCCCAGCTCCACACAACTTACTTTTATGGTAAACAAATGTGCTTCTGGGATTAAGCTAGGTTTTTTTTTTGTTTTTGTTTTTTCTTTGTTTTGTTTTGTATTTAAAGCAATGCTGTCATTTTAAATATTTAGAGTTATTTTCTGTTGCCTAATTTTCATGGCTCTAAAACCAACTAACCTTTTCCTTAATAAGCTATAGCAACGAACAAGTAGAAGGTGCTCCCTTTGCAAGTGTGATTAAAGTCTGATTAATCTAAAGAGAGATTCCTATCAGAGACAGAGACCACATTCTTTGTAGAATGTAGCACATGTATCTGACACTAGGTGGAAAATGTCACAAGAGCTCAACCAACCCACTATAGTGTCAAAGGGCTTCTTGAACGGAAAAATTATACAATCATGTTTGGCATTTTGCTTCAAGATAAAAAGTTACGATGCTATTTTAGAATCTCAAGTTTCTTAAGAAATAAGTAATTTCATTTTTTTTTTCTTATGAGTGAATACATGTAGGAGTTAGGAATTATGAGGGGAAAACCTAAAGGCAGAGATGGTCAAAACAAACTGACTGTGGCTTACGTCACTCCTTCTATTAAATAAAATCTCTTTCTCTCTCCTTAGAATATAATGCCTTTAACTTTACTTATGATTAATTTCTAGCTTTTTTTCCCCCTGATGTCCTATATACCACTACATCTTTAAGTTAGGACATGGTTTTGAGAAGAAGGGGTATGTGTAGTTGAGCGCAGAGGTTTATTAAAATTCCTGTGGTTAGGAGCAACTCTTTTAAAAAGAGAGTGAATTATAGTAAATTCACTATAAAGTAAAGAGCCACCCCCTTTCCACAAGGGCTGCAGGCACTGCTCTTTGGACAGCTGATCACTGAGCCAGAATGACCTGAATGATCTAAGAATGCCCGTGACTCCTGTTTATGCCTTACGTGCATATCCTGTCAACACACACTCCTATCTTCTCATCTTCCATTGCTCCATTTCCCCAGAAACATCCCCTACCCCATCTGGCTCGCGGAAAACAAATTCACAGAAAMATAACGACTTTGTTCCCCAACACAGCACTTTCACTCACTGCGGCTCAATTACACTTTCTTATTCCTGTTTGACTTTCAACGCTTCTTATTTATTTTTCTTACCTTTTTCAGAGACACTTTTCCATAGGCGAACTTTGGTGTGGATGGAGGGATAGGACCTTCTGGTACCTCTTCAAACTATACATACACCAGAGGGAGAGAAGAGAGGAAAGAAAAGAACTATTAAACCTTCAGAAACCAACCCGTAAAATTCATTTTTCAAAAGGAAGGTCAAAGTCTCGAACAACAGTACTTGGTGATTTTTGGAAAGGCAAAGGAACAAAAAATTTCTTCCAAAATTATGTCAGGTAGAGTTTTTGTGTGTGTGTGTGTTTTTTAGTTGTAGATGGACACAATATCTTTATGTATTTTTTAAAATATTTTTTAGTTATAGGTGGACACAATATCTTTATTTTATCTTTATGTGGTGCTGAGGATTGAACCCAGTGCCTCACATGTGCAAGGCAAGTGCTCTACCAATGAGCTACAGCCCTAGCCTTTTAAAAAAAAATTTATTTTAAAAAATATTTATTTTTTAGTTATAACTGGACACAATACCTTTATTTTATTTATTTTTAGGTGGTGCTGAGGTTTGAACTCAGGTCCTCGCAAGTGCTAGGCAAGTGCTCCATGGTTGAGCCATAACCCCATAACCCCACTTTGTTTTTTAAAATTTTTTTTCTTAGTTGTAGTTGGACACAATACCTTTATTTTATTTATTTTCATGTGGTGCTGAAGATCAAACCCAGCATCTTGCATGTGCTAGGCRAGTGCTCTACTGCTGAGCCACAATCCCAGCCCCTCAGGTAGAGTTTTTATTTTATTAAGTGTGTGTCTGTAGTTGAAACGTGGGGAATCAATCATCCAAATAGTTACAGAACAAAGCTGAAAAATCAAGTGGAGAGAATGAGGGTCAAYAGCAAATAATGGGGTGAGGAAAAAAGAACCAAGACATGTGGCAACTCTCACCRAGTTGCTTAGCGCCTTGCTAAATTGCTGAGGCTGGCTTTGAACTCATGATTCTTCTGCCTCAACCTCCTGAGTCACTGGGATTACAGGTGTGCACCACCATGTCCAGCTGTCTACAAATTCTTACAAGACATATACTGACGTATTTAGGGGTAAAGATTCATGATGTATGCAATCCTCCAACGGTTTAGAACATATACATAGGGTGGCCGGGGAAGGAGAACAAATGATAAACCAAACAGAAATTTTGCTCTCGTGACTTTCCTTTAAATTTGGATTTTTTTCTTGTGTGCATGTGGTGGGTGGGTACTGGGAAATGAGCCCAGGAGTTCTCTACTACTGAATAACATGCCTATCCTTATTTTTAAATTTGATTTTGACAGGGTCTCACTGAGTTGCCCAGGTTGGCCCTGAACTTGTGATCCTCCTGCCTCAGCCTCCTAAATCGCTGGGATTATAGGTGTGCATCATACACCTGGCCACTTTTTCCTTTTTAAAGTAACAAGATGGACATTTTAGATTGCTCCTCTATCTATATACATATATAAAAATTATATATGTACAATTTTTTTTTGTACTGTGGATTAAACTCAGGGGATACTCAACCACTGAGCCACATCCCAGCCCTATTTTGTATTTTATTTAGAGACAGGGTCTTACTGAGTCGCTTAGTGCCTTAAGTTGCTGAGGCTGGCTTTGAACTCGCAATTTTCCTGCCTTAGCCTCCCAAGCCTCTGGGATTTCATGTGTGCACCACTGTGCTTGGCTATATCTTCATTTTTTCCCATTTTTTCACCTGTCTTCTGATTCCAATTCTAAGAAATTATTATTTTTTCTGGTACTGGGAATTGAATTCAGAGGTACTCAACCACTGAGTCACATCCCCAGCCCTATTTTTTTTTTTTTTTTTTTTTTTAGAGACAGGGTCTCACTAAACTGTGCCTCAAAGTTCCTGAGGCTGGCTTCAAACTCAAGATTCTCCAGTCTCAGCCTCCCAAGCCGATTGGATTACAGGTAGGCACCACTATGCCAGGCTGAAATTCTCTTTTAAAAATACTTTTTAGTTGTAAATGGACACAATGACTTTATTTTTATGTGGTGCTGAGGATTGAACCCAGTGCCTCACACATGCTAGGCAAGTGCTCTACCACCGAGTCACAACCAGCCATGAAGTTATTTTTAATTTTCAYGAACTCCTCGTTCTCTAGTGGCTACTTTTTCAGAGCATTCTATTCTTATTTTATGTATACAATATATTCTCAACTTTCTTGGAAAGAGACAAGGATATATCCTTCAGATATGAGAGCTTTTACTTACGAGCTCTCTTGTGCCTTGATTCTCTGTTGCCTCTAGGGTCATTTCTCTCTGTTTCATCTTGTCTTTCCCTTTCCTATTGTAGGTCGGGTTTATGGTTATGCTCAAACATCCGCCGTCATTGGTCATCCATTCGTGTTCAATGGTAAAGCAAACAAAATGGATCAGCACCTGCTGAAATCACTCTGCCTGTAACAGTCCTGCTCTGTGACAGAGCAAGGTTTGTTTTAGAGCAATTTAACTTGAGAGTCAGATGTAATATGGGGAGGGTCTTTGCTTTAAGAGGAAACATTTTTAATGTTTTAATGTTTAAAGGAAACATTTTTATAATGTTTTAATGTTTAAAGGAAACATTTTTCCTTTAAAAAAATGTTTAAATTCAAATTTAATTAATTGAACTCTTTCAAAAGTGTTTTCTTGATTAATGTGTTCATGCTGTGTACATTCCCTTTTATAATACATTTTGATTTCATTTAACTTTCTTTGGCACAATTTCTCTGCGGTATAAATGTAATAAATACTATGAAAGCAAATTAAAAATTTTTTTCACAAGGGACAATAAAATTACATTTTGAAGCATTTTAAATGGTACACTTGAAAAGAACGGCCCTATTTTTTTTTAAACATATTTTGGTATTTTTTTCTTTTGGTACTGAAGACTTAACTCAGGAGCACTTTCCCACTCACTGATCTACATCCCCAGCCTTTTTAATTTATTTTAATTTTTTTGTGTGTGTGTGTGTGGGTACTGGGGATTGAACTCGGAAACACTCGACCACTGAGTCACATCCCTGGCCCATTTTTGTATTTTATTTAGAGACAGGGTCTCACTGAGTTGCTTTGTGCCTCGTTTTTGCTGAGGCTGGGTTTGAACTCATGATCTTCCTGCCTCTCAGCCTTCCAATCTTCTGGGATTAGAGGCATGTACCACTGCACCCAACCCTTTTTATTTTAAGACAGTCTGTATTTTTAAGAGTGGTAATATTTTTAACAAATTTTAAAAACAAATATTTCTCAGTCTTGATCCAACAAACACATCATCAGGCCTAAATCTAAGTAAGTGTCCTTGCATTCAAATCTAAGCAAATTACTACCTATGTAACATATTCAAGAGATTAAATATAAGTTTATATTTAAATGTTTAACATATGTCATCTCTGTACCTAGAGATACAACATTTGTTTTACTGGCAAAACATTTTATATCTCCCTTGATAGGCCATTCAATGTGTACCTCACATGCATATATACACACACTTACACATTTTTCTTTCTGTAAGGAAAAAAAGTCTTTTTGGAAGATATAGCTCAGAGATTTATTAAAGGGGTCCTCAAAAGCAGACATGGCTGGTTATTTTATAAATTGTGGTTCATTATCAAGTTCAATTGATTAGAGAGAAGATACCCTGATGCTTAGAACCACTGGCACCACAAAACAGTGTTTATCTGATAAATTCACCATCAATTTGGCAAGCTTTAACATAACTACTCTGTTTTTGAATATGCATAATATAAAAACTTTATATGCAATTACATAGCATCCACTATAATAAAAATGGCACAGATACAATCTACTTAACAGTATAAAAAAATTGGCAGATGAAGTTATTAGCATCATGGTCCTTTAAAAGTTTTTTTTTTTTTTTTTTTTTTTTTTTTTAAAGTTCTCTGAATTTCTGCCTGGTAGAAAGATGGCTCCCTGATAAACACTTTGTGTCTGAGTAGGGTGAGGGAGAACCTTCCAGGAAATTCATAGGGTGCAATTAAACTTCCCATTTTTAGCTCCCTGTTGTTTCTATCCTTTCACCTATCTGCGTTTCTGGGACCCTGTGTATTAATCTGTTTTCTGTGACTATAACAAAATACCTAAGGTATGTTAACTTCAAAAACACAAGAAGTTACTCAGCTCACAGTTCTGGCAAGTCAAGTCTTAATAAGCACAGGCTGATCTCTGGAGAGGAACTCCTGGTGGATAACAGAAGCATGGGCAGGAAGAAGAGATCATATTTCACAACAGGAAGCTTGAGAGGCAGTAGGACCAGGCTCATACTTTTATAACCACCCTCTCACAAGAACAAACTAGGGTCTGGAGAGAAGTACCTATCCGTGTCCAAGGGCAGCACCTCTGCTTGACCCAAGGACCTCCCACTAAACCATCTCCCATACCACCTTCCAATACTGCCACTCTGGGGACTAATATAACAACATGTAAACACTGGGGGACAAAACACATCCAGGGTTCTTTGAGGTATATCCCTGCTCCCTGAACCTATAAGCCCTGTCACTCTCACTGGAATCCAAGGTTTTCTTGCCCTCCATTTTCAGTCTCCACTCCCCTATCATCTGCCCCCACCCCCCAGTACCTGGGATTGAACCCAGGGACTTTTTAAAAAAGTCTGAACCTCCAATCACATTTCCTCTCCCAGTTTCTCTTCTAGACCCTCCCCTTATGCACATACAGAATATAAATTTAAGTGATATTTTTATAATTTGATACTGCTACTTACCCAAAGTATTTTTGGCATGGCTAAATACTGACAATATTTACATGACCATCTTTGTATATTTGGAATTGAATTATTTCTAATTTTAGTATTATAATGTTACAATAAGCAACTTCATGTCTAACATTTTTCTTTTTTTTAATATTTATTTTTTAGTTTTCGGCGGACACAACATCTTTGTTTGTATGTGGTGCTGAGGATTGAACCCGGGCCGCACACATGCCAGGCGAGCGCGCTACTGCTTGAGCCACATCCCCAGCCCTAACATTTTTCTTTAAAAAAAATTTTTTTTGTTTTTTCAGTTGTAGTAGGACACAATATTTTTATTTTATTTATTTATTTTTATGTGGTG